AAATAACATGGCGGCTCATGCCTGTAATTCCAGCACTGTGGGAGGCTGAGGCCTGCGGATCATGAGGTTAGATCAAGATCATCCTGGCCAACATGGTGAAACCCCATCTCTACCAAAGATACAAAAAAAAAATTAGCTGGGTGCAGTGGTGTGCCCATTTAGTCCCAGTTACTCAGGAGGCTGAAGCAGGAGAATCACTTAAACCCGGGAGCTGGAGGTTGCAGTGAGCAGAGATTGCGCCACTACACTGGAGACAGAGCGAGACTCCACTTCAAAAACAAAAATTATTTCTTACTATGAAAGGTTTGCGGTATACTAAGTATATTTTACATATGTAAGTTACTATGTAAACATTACAATTAATATTGGTAAACCCATCACTCACCTTAAGAATTAAAACATGACCAGTAAGTAGCTTTAAATCTGCAGGCTCTGTGACTATCCTGTTCTCCTGCCTTCCTTCTGAAGCTGGCCACTAGCCTGAATTTTTTTTTTAGCAATTCTTTCCTTGTGAAATATAAGCTTTTGTCACACGCCTGTTTCCTTAAACAATGTATTGTTCATGGTCTCTTGCTATTCAGGTTTACAAAGATTATATATTCTATGTATTCTTCTGCAACTAGTTTTCTTCATTCAGTATTTCTAAGACTTAGTTATGTGTATGTTATTAAATATAATACGGTTTATTTTTTAAATATATATGATATTCTATTGGGTAAATCACCACAATTAATCCACGTTCCTGAAATGAGCATTTGGATTTTAAAAATATTTTTGCTATGATAAGCAATGTTGCCTATACAAATTTGCAAGAATTTCCTAAACGATATGTACCCAGGAGCAGACCTGCTTGGTGTACGTCAGGTCTCCACATGCAAGCCTGGAGCCTGAAAGCCTGAAGTCCTGCATGCCTCAGCTGATGTCTCCCACTCGCTGCCTGTGTTTGCCATTGTCCCTAATCACCCAGCGGAGCTTCCCTGGACAAGCCCCTCACCCAACCCTGCCATCTTGACTGTTCTTATGATAATGTAAATACCTCTCACCCAACCCCACCACTGTAACTGAACTTACTGCAACACCCCCAGCCCCCAGAAAACTACCCAAACCTAAAAAACCAACTTCTATCCCACTGCCCTTTGCTAATGCCCTTTTTGGCCTTAGCCCACCTGCACCCGGGTGAATAAACAGCCATGTTTCGCACACAAAGCCTGTTTGGAAGGTCTCTTCATTCAAAGGGTGCGCTTTTCAACAGTGTATGCATTTTCAACTTTACAAGACAGTTCTAAATTTGTTTTTCCAAAGTGATTGGACATATTTTTATCTCCTTCACCAGTGTATAATATCCCTTAGACTTACATCTTTGCCAGCCCCTAGTATTATCAGATTTCTTAATATTTCTCAACCAAGTGACTGTAAAATAATCTCCTTGGGATCTTAATCTGCAGTTTACAGATTAATAATAAGGTTGAGCAACCTTTCATGTTTTATTTGTCATTTGGATTTACCCTCCTATAATATGCCTACCATACCTTTTGACCATTTTCCAATTGGATTTTTATTGACTTATAGGAGTTCTTTATATATAGCATATTATATAGCAGTGGTAGGTGATATATCTTGAATATATCCAATTCATATAAATTTTTCTCATTCAGTTCTCATAGTTCTATGGGTGCTTTACAGTTGCCTTTCGGTACTCATGTTTTCTTCCTACAGTAGTAATGACTCCTGTTTTTGTGGGACAGTTTACAAAGCCCTCTCATAAATCTTATCTGAGTCTCCCAACAACTTTAAAAAACAAGATGGGCATTATTAAACTTGTTTTATAAATAAAACTGAGTGGCTTGCCCAACGTAATGGGGCTAATAAATCCTCAGACTCCACATTCCATAGCCACCTTATGATTATGTGATGCTTCAGCTATTTGTACCCTATTTAAGAAAATGCTGTACCTCTGCTTAGCACCTTAACCTCGGTTCCTTCTCTCTCTTTATATATAATTCAAAATATAGCTTTAATTTATTCAGTTCAACCTAAACACATTATCTACAAGATAAAGAGATGAGTAAAAGGAAGCACTAAAAAGAGAATTTTTAATAGGACTTTTTTTTTTTTTTAAATAAGAGAGGCTATGAGGATTTTCAGAATCACGAGTTATCTGTTCTGTGTCAAACCACATTTTTAAAAATAATGGATCTGTTATGTAACAGAGCTGATTTTAAGTTCAGTGTTTTTTTTTTTCCCTTTAGCCTCTCAGTTTAAAACATGAATACAGAGAATAAGAGAAGAAACATATACTTCGACATCTATCAGTATTATCTAGATTGGCTTCTGTATGTCAATTACTGATTTCTCTAGTTTTTAATTTATTATAATATTACCTGTTATATTAGATATAACATATATGTATATTTTAAAATTAGCATTAAATATCGACCTTATAATGAGAATTCATATTGGTAGGGCAGTAATTTCATCACTCATTCTCTAGCTGAAGCTACTACCTCTGGGCAGTTGGGTGGATACCAACCTTCTGTGAGAGCCCAGGGATGATGGGTTAAGAGATGCCCAAATGTTCTCTCTCAAATATTTGCGATGGTAAAACGTAGTACTTCTCACTTTCTGGGAACTGTAAAATAAATAAAGAATTAAAGCACATCCATTAGTTTGACTATCTACATATATTTATCGATAAATCCTCAAGCTAATCAAACTACTGGATGTGAACTCTTTAAACTTTTGTAGTTTCCATGGATGATTATATTTTATGTACATTACATACACCAGAGAAAACTGTGTCTGATGAAATAAGCAGTAATAAGAAAGGACTTGAGGATAAATAAGGAAACAGAAGTCCTATCCCAAAGTATTTTAATTACCATATCATAGTTAAGTACTTAAGCACTTCCTGGGCACATCTGCTGGTATACAATAAAAATAAGACCACATCATAACTTCTTCTCCAAAGAGAAAGATCTTTTGTAACAACTGTATTCTAAAGATAATTACTAAATATGGCCTTTCCTAATCTCTTTCTTCTAGTATCATAAATAAATGTATCTCCAGTTAAATATCTGGTTTTAGCTTATCAAATATTCCTCTATGAGTGTCCAATTTTAAACTGGTTGGCTCACCTCTGTTTTTATGAAGTGCTGGCTTCTACATATATTTTGATCTGCATCTGAGGGCTGTATGTGTTATAAGTACTATGTGTCTGATGACGGGCTCTCGATGGATGTGTTTTTCTTTTGAGTCAGGTACTATAACTAGGCTCATACAGCTCACATTGAGTCGGGGATAATTACACAATTACACCACAAAGTGGTAGCATAAGAGAGTGATGTGGATTGGAGGAAAGGGCATTTAAGGATTTTGCAATTCAGATCTGTGTTTGTGGAAAATGAGGTGAGCTCTGTGTTGGTAATTTTGAAACATATTTTATTGTTGTAAGGATATGGGTCATTCATAATGCAAAGGGAGCATCATTCCCAACTGGAAAGCTTCTAGTATCACCTAGTCCAAAGGGTCTTAAAGAGGCATGTTACCCATTTGAGGAAGCTACCCATTATATTTTTAAAGTACATTCTCAAACCAATTGCTTTAAAAAGGGTCTTGCAGTTAAAACGACCATATAATGGCCAGGCGTGGTGTCTCACACCTTTAATCTCAGCACCTTGGGAAGCAGAGGCGGTGTTTCACCTGAGGTCAGGAGTTCCAGACCAGCCTGACCAACATGGAGAAACCGCATCTCTACTAAAAATACAAAATTAGCCGGGTGTGGTGGCGCAGGACTGTAATCCCTGCTACTCGGGAGGCCGAGGCAGGAGAATCCCTTGAACCCGGGAGGCCAAGGTTGCAGTGAGCCGAGATCTCACCATTCCACTCCAGTCTGGGCAACAAGAGGGAAACTACGACTCAAAAAAAAAAAAAAAAAAAGACCATGTAATATCCTATACGGGATAAGTGCAAGATTGGGGCAACATTGGGACAACAGACCTAAACAAGGTCTGTCCCAGGCAAATAAAAAAAACATGGGCATCTATTTATGGAGGAAAAATGCCCAGGGGTTTCTAGGAGATGAGGGTAGGAGGTTTGATTTGGTAGACTCTTCAAGAAGAAAAAATGTCTGAAGCCCAAAGAGGCTTCCTGTTGCCTTTTCAAGGGGAAAATCAAGATAAACTAGGGACAATGAATTTTAGGGACTTTTCAAGGGTGTGAAATCTTTGCTTTCATTTTGATTTTTAAAAATCCCATATTTCCCTTTATAATTAACAAAATCCATTAATTAAAATGGGTCTTTGTGCTAATCTTTAGGGGCAGGCAAGAAATGAGGCTCTTGAGAAATAGCACCCAATTTTGCTGTCACCTTGGATGTTGGTGGGAAAACGAGAGAAGAGGGAAAGAGAGAGCAGGAGAGCTGAAAGAAATCCTTTCCAAGAAAACACAGTTAAGTGTACGGAGTAAGTGGGTGGGGAACATTTGAGACTGTAAACACTGGGGGCAAAGACAAGACCTTGTGAAATGCCTGACAAAGTATCTGACGAACCTGATGAATAAAGCCATGATCTCTGGGTGGCCCTGGTGATATCTCTGGGCAAGGTGAGAGGAGACAGCGAGAGCTGTTTTTGAGAGCAATGTCATTAGTCTCTGGAGCAAGACCATGGGCTTGTAGTGACACCGTGGGTTCCTCAGTTGTCTGGAAGTGCAGGGACTGCAGTCTCGGATCTGTCCAGCTCTGATCATTTTGGAACGCCTTCGGTGGGATGCGTGCAGAAGGCTCCCAGCGCAAAGGGCGGGCCACAAAAACCACTAGGCAAGAAACCTGCGCTGGGACAGGTGCGCTCAGCCGCCGAAGCTTTCCCCGCGGCCCCGCCCACTCCCGTGCCAGGCCCGCCCACATCCCTGTCAGCGCCTTAAGTCTGCCCGCCGCAGCCCTCTCCCCCGCCCCGCCGCGCTGGAGTCTAGGGTCTCGGTAACTTCCGGCGGCGGGGCGCGAGGCGCGCCTTCTGCGCTTGCGCGTCGGCCTGCTCCTCCTGAGCCCGGGGCCCCTGCGGCTGGGACTTGGTACAGCCGGGCGGTTGGCGTCCTCCGCGACTCCAGCCAGGGGCGGGCTTTTCAAATCTTCCCTTCGACGTAGTGGCTGCGGCCAGGGCAACCCGCGCTGGAGATGGAGGGGCCGAGCCTGCGGGGTCCCGCACTCGGCTTCGCGGGGCTTCCCACCCAGCGGGTGAGTTGGGGGGACCTTGTCGCGGAAGGAGAGGGGCCTGTTCCTCTAACTCTGTTCCTCGCGCCTTCGCTTTGTGGAGTCGTAGGAAAAGCCTCTCCCCTGCTCGTCTAATTCAGCCTAGGCCAGAAACAAAGGGAGGGACTAGGAGATTGCACTCCCAAAGAGCCCGGACATCTGTACCTGCGGATTTCTCAGGCAAGGAGCTGAGGTCCGGAATGGGAAGGCGGTGCCGGGGTCCTGGCGCGCGTTTGCGGGCGCACCTGTCCGTCGCCCTCCACAGGCTTTGGACGCCTGTCTTTTTGCTAGTGTAGGTGATGCCGGGGGAATGGGAGCCCCTCGATTCCCAAGAAACCCAGCGAGGCCAGTTGGCTTATTACGGGTTTAATGGGAAGCACAGTAATGGAGCGATATCTACACACAACGCAGAACTGGTGAGGGGGTCCGGGCGGAGTAGAGACAAACTGCAACCTCTGCACGTCAGAAAAAGTTGAAGGTTTGGTGGTGGGTTCTTTCTCAAATCATTAGAAAGATTAGAGGGAGTACATGTTAAGTTGAATAGAAGTTTGGTGTTTGCTTTTGAGCCATGTAAAATGTGTTAGAAACTCTTTTATTTTAGTTTTTACTAGACCAACATTATTTCTTGGCAACATCAGTTATTAAAATGTTACCACATTTCACTCTTAACCATAACTTTAGTGTCTTTAAAAAAACTGATGTCTTTAAGCTGGATCTTCACCTCTATTTTGATCTCTACCCCCTTTTACCTACTTCAGAAGTAGGTTAAATCATATGAAATTGCCAGTTTTGTAGGTCAAAATTGGTGGAATATTTGCAATTCCATTCTTATGGAGGCACCTGATATCTTTGTTTAAAAACCTGGGATTTCCTTAGCAGACACAAAATTGTTAGGAAATTTACAGTGCTGTGGAAAATAAGGCAAGACATTAAGATTCATTATGCAAAAGAAGCCCAGTGCCTTTATCAGTAATTTTTATGCCGTTTTATGCCAGCATTTTCAAAAATTTCAAAGATTTTGATGTATTTGTCAGTCCTGTCCTGTTATGTGCTTTGGCTGTGCTGATTGCTAACAAATCTTGATTTATAGTGAATTGGCGTTCTATTCAGGTTCTTACATGTACTGTATAGGTGTTGGTGTAGCTGTCCAAGTGTATTTATTGAGCTGTAGGCTGCAGTAATAGGAATGGTACAGAAGTGACAAGAGTATAAGATCATAAAGGAAGTTTAGCTACATGGAATTAAAATAAATGTTTATATACACATAAAGACGGTTAATTTACACGTGGGAAGGTACAATGCTTAATTTGTTAGGCGGGACAAAATTTAAATGATTGAAATGTGGAATTACTTCTTTAGTTTGCATTTGGAGAAAAAACACAAAATAGTAGTAGGTTTCAACCTAATATAAGTATTGAGGGTCAGTCCGATAATTTTATACTTGACTAACACTGAATTTTTATTTGGCATTTCCTTTGATAAATGAGTGAAGCTGCCGCCTAATAGAGATAAGGCCAAAGATTTTGAGGTGGTCACACACTAATCGAACACCTCTACTGAAACACTGGAGTTCTCTGCGACTGACTCACAGCATAGAGTACTGGCGTTGGCATCAGATTCAGGTCAAACCAACCTCTGCTTGTTGTGCCACCTTAAATAAGTTACCTCTGTTTTTTAAGTTTCAATTTCCACAATTGTAGGTTTGTTATTCTACCTATCCCGGACAGCTGTTGGAATTTGAGAACCTCTCTAAAGTGCTTATCACAGCACCTGGCACTCAGGATGTGCTTGAGAGATGACTATTGTTGTCATCCTTTGTCCTATTCATCCGAGTGGTTAGGGTGGTCCCCTACCTTTTCTTACAAATGTTTAAGCTTTTGGAATCTTAATAAAAATAAAATTCAAAAAGTCATACAAACTCATTGCAGAAAAGTCAACATATACAGAAACATGAATTTAAGAATTCTTTCCCCAGTTCCATTCCCCAGAATGGCTGCTGTTAACAATTTCCACTTTTTTCTGTACATAAACAATTCTTAGAATCCACACAGTTTCTTTTAGCAAAAAGAGAATGTACTGTATATACTCTTTCTTCATCTTCACCTTGGTCTCTTGGTTAGCATGGCTTAACTATATCCATTAGGTGAATAATAGTTTCTGTTTTGATTACTGCAGTCGTCTTACCAGGATTTTTTTTTGTCAGTTTTTAATACCAACAATAAAGCCATTTTCTTTGCACTTCCTTCGTGCTAGCCTAGCTCTTAAAGCCTAATGAGTTTCCTAATCTAAATTTCTACTTTTAAGGTATCCTCCCATTTCATTCATAGCATTGTCCATATATTTTTATCAGCCTGACTTTACTTGCAGGGTCAGGAGGGTGACACAGCTTCTGTTTGACTTGATAATAGGCAAGCACTTATTCAGAAAATTGGAAAAGAAGTAAGAGGATGGTCTTACCTCATTCCCTGCTCTTCCTGGAGACTGGCATTCAAACACTTCAAAGAGGAATGGTTGTAGAGAGATAAGTTTTTGTCATTTGTCCTAATCAACCTTGACTCTACCTGGCCAAGCCATTATGGCTGAGGGAGCAACACTGATGATTTTTCACTCCCTACTTATCCTCTTTGAGGTCAGTAAACATCACTATTGAATGCCCAATCAGTAACTGTATTACATGATCATTATTCTTACTGTGGATAGCACTAGACATCAATTCTTATCCCAGATGCACTATGTACCCTTGTAATGAAAGACAGCTCTGAAGGGTTTTGGTTCCATAAACCTTTACTTGCTAGACCTAGCATTGCTTAACCAGAGAAGCTTTTTCTGCATGTAAAATGTAGATATGTACTAAAAGAAGTTACATGGGAAATACAAAACTAGCTGAAACACTAGCCTTAAAAAAAATCAGAATACATTGAAAACCATATGTACACTTAACAATTCATCCTGCTTATGTTAGCCTTCAGGGATCCACTTAACTCACATTTGCCTGAGACCTGCCTCAGTGAGGGAGGTAAGATTATAGTTTACTATGTATGTTAATTTGGCTAGGTTATAGGTCAGTAAACTATTTCTATAAAGGGGCAAACAGTAAATGTTTTCAGCTTTGTAGGCCGCTCAGTCTCTGTTGAAGTTGCTCAACTCTGCCCTTGTAGCTTACAGGAGCCATAAACAATATGAATGGGTGTGGCTGTGCCCCAGTACAACTTTATTTACAAAACCAGATCCCAGCCGGGCCATAGTTTGCTGATCCTTGCTCTGAAGAAAAAAATCTAATAGTAATACCTGTTATATATGCCTCATTTCCTTAATAAATGGTCTTTAATCATATCATCTTCATACTTGTTAAATGTACATTTATTTTCAAACCCTGACTTTACATTTTCTTTCTCTACTATTTCCCAAGCTTCTATGGTTTTATGGAATCTTCATTTTAAGTGATGGCTAGAAGATAATCTTCATTTATGGGATAGAAACCCAAACTGATTCCTTAATGTGGCTGTAGCCACCTGCTGGTTCTTTAAGGTTGTTGCAACTTTCAAGATTGCTGTGGAATTTCTGATAGTCCAGCCATGCTTCTCCACCCTGGCTGACCATTGAATCACCTGAGGAACTGTTATTTAAAAAAAAAAAAAAGTTCGAGCCCCACCTCCAGAGATCCTGATTGGTTTGGGGTAGGTCACAGGTTTAGGTACTTTTATAAGGCCCTTCCTCTCTGCCTCAGATGATTCTAATAGGCAGCCAGCTTTGAGAACCACTGTGCTAGCTTAACCGCCTGTTTCATTTCAGTATTTAAAAACCAAAATTGAATTTAGTGGCACCAGATGGTATTTGTTTATATTTGAGTTGTTGGGGAAAGCTATTCATCCCAGCTTTAGGTTACTCCCTGTGTGCACTCCCCAATATAGTCAGCCTGCCAGAGTTTATTTCTATAGACATATGGGTCACATAGATAATCCTTACAATTAATTGCTAATTACATTAAAAAAGAATTTACTTTGGGGCTGGTAAGTCATAAAAAGATGAAATGGAGTTGTTGAAATTCAGTCATGTGTAACAAAGGAAAACCAGCAAATGACTACATTTATATAGTATACCAGTTTTGAGTTACAACACTATACGAGGTTTTTATGTGGTAATTACATGATGTAATTACAGAAGGTAATTAAACAGATCAGTTTTCTGTGTGTAAATAGTACAGTTGATTGATTTGGATCGCCAAGTTAAATCATCTACTGCAGTTTGAAGACTGTTAGGTCTCCTTTCATGTTCTTTTCTTTTTGAAAAGGTTGTCTAGACCTTTTGTTATTAGATTTCATTTACTTTTTTAAATTTACATTTTGATCCAATCAGAAGGTAAATTTTTGTCTTTTTTTTTTTTTTAGCCACAGAAGCTAGGGTGGTTACTTTATCTTTTAGAAATAGACATACTAGAAACATTGTTATATATTTGTGATATAATAAAGAGTATCCTATGATTTTATAATTTTTATAATGTCATTGTGAATTAAATCAGAACTGTACATTCAGTTTATAGAATTTTAATGTTGCGTATGAAACTCGTATGTAGAATCAGGCCATTAAAAGATAATTATATGGCATAAAAGACTTGTAGAAATAAAATATTTAGTAGTCTAATGGTAAATCCTAAAACTAAAATAAATGATATGTCCAGAATTATATTCTAAAGGTCCGTTCCAGTTAGCTAAGGCTTCTGACATTTTCTATGCACAGTGCTTTCACTCTCTTGCTTCTGAGATTGTATTTACACTACCTACTATTACAAATAGCCTGTTTCCTCCCTGCTGCTAAACCTTGGCTCCTTTACTCAGTATCTGCTTTTTCAGAATTTTTTTTTTGGCTAATTCACTGTCACCAACTACATTGCCATCTCTTAATACAATTTATAGACGATATATCTGGAACATTTTTTACATTATATTAGTTATTATACATTTTCTAAAGCTGCTATAACAAATGACCAAGATTGAGTGGCTTAAAACAAGATAAATGTATTCTCATACTTATGGAGGCCAGACATCTGAAATCAGGAGATTGGCAGGGTCATGTTCCTCTGAAGGCTCTAGGGAATAATTATTTTCTTGTCTTTTCCGGCTTCTGGTTATTGCCATCAATCCTTAGTATTTTTTTTTTTTTTTTGGCATACAGACGGATCCGTCTCTGTCTTCACACGTCATTTTCTCTGTATGTGACCATGTCTTCATACGACCTTTCTTTAAGGACACTAGTCATTAGAGTTAGGACCCACTCTAATCCAGTATGTCTTCATATTACCTAATTACATCTGCAAAACCCATATCCAAATAAGGCTACATTCTGAGGTTCTAGATGGACATAAATTTTGGAGGGACACTATTAAATTTAATATAGTTATAAGAACACATAATGTTTCTCACTTTGTTTATGTTCTGTTTATTCAGAAAATTCTGAAGACTTCCTAATGAAGCAAGAAGTTAAAAATTGCAAAGAGCATTTTAAAATAGCTATTTTTATATTACATATATTAAAACTTTGTTGTTTTCTCAATACGGTATACAATTATAATGTTATCTAGTACATTTTCCATCTATATGGAAAGATGTAATTTTTTGCTATATTTTAAAAGAGCTTCTTTTTTTTTTTTTTTTTTTTTTTTTAGGACTGCAGCATTCAAGAAAAAATAGACTTAGAAATTCGAATGCGAGAAGGAATATGGAAACTCCTTTCTCTGAGCACTCAGAAAGATCAGGTTTTACATGCAGTTAAGAATCTCATGGTGTGCAATGCTCGAATAATGGCCTATACATCGGAGCTTCAGAAATTAGAAGAACAGATCGCAAATCAGACTGGAAGATGGTTAGTAACATAGTTTACCTGTGGCTTTTAATGTACTTAAATATATAAATTAAAAACAATATAACTTAAGCTTAAGTACAAATATCAAATCACCAAACTGTTTAAAAAAACAAATAAATGGAACCAGCAGCTGACATCATAAACGGTTTGCCAATAGAGCTCAAAGTGAACTTACTATCAGGCAGCAGTTTTTATTGGGCAGTTTTGTTGTGTTCAGTATGTAATTTTAAAATGAAAATTGTTCAGAAGCAATGACTGAGGGAGCATTAAGAAGAAAGGGCCAAGATTGATAGAAATGTAGAGTAAGAAAATTAATTGCTTAGATATGTGCTAATAAAAAGGTACTAGCTGTGAGTTATGGAAACTTAAGTACTGTATAGAAATTGAGTGAGTAGCAAAATTATAAAGAGAGAAAAACTTAAGAATGGAAAGGAACTTAAAAATCTGCTAGCACCTCTCTTGATATGTGAATGTAAGTCCTAGAGACGCAAAAAAAAAAAAACCAAAAAAAACCTCAAGGACATGCATGTAATAAGTGATGGATGCTAATGTGAGTTAAGATTTGCTAAGTATTAATAGCTTCTGGTCATGTGTTCTGTCATCTCATGCTGCTATTTTAGATTAGATCTTTGTTTTGTACATAAAATTTATATCCTGTCTTATTTACAATGCCAGATCTTACTTGAACCTAAGAATTGGTCGATTGAGTGGCTGGATTTTAATGTAGTTTAAATAAAAACAGTCTTACATTCCCCTTTGTTGATTAGTCTTACAGCTCTGGCACAAGGGAAGAGTTTCTTTTAGACAATAGCGGCTATTGGGCTGAGCACATCATTAAATTCTTGAAATGTAAGTTAAAAACTCCAGAGTACGAAATTTCTGTAAAAATCAAATTTAGATGAGAGTGTGGTATAATAAAGACCTGGATACAAAGTAGCCAACGTTATTAGCTGTATTGCCATGAGAGAGCTATTTTAATCTCCTTGTGCCTCAGTTTCGTCCTTACAGTGGGCATGATAATATTGACATTTTGAAAATTGAGATTTTTATATATACAAAAACCTAGTGTAATGCCTTTTGCATACTTAGTACTCAACAAATGACAGTTTTCATTGTTATGTGAATATAGGAAAATAGTTTTCAGATAGACATACATTGGTTTAACTCAGTGCTTTTCAAAGTTGGTCACGTGTAGCACAGAGTACATGATTATGTGTCAGGAGATATGCAAAGCCATAGAATAAATATGGCATATCTTCTTAGAGCATGGATTTTTAAGATTAAACATGAGAAGTTTAGAATAGTGGAGTATTTTGAGGTTATGCTTTCTTATGCATGGGGATATATGTTCCCTCTCAGCCTTTTTATTAGGTTACTTTGACATGAGGGGGCAGTTTCAGTGGAAAAGTTTGAGAAGCCCTGCTTTTAGAAAGTATGGGGCTAAACATTCAATATTATGCCATCTATCACAATTTCTAGAATATTATTTTTGGGACCATATCTGCCTCCATATTTAATGCTCTTTAAATATTAATAATGAGTTATGAATTGACCATTTCTTAAATTTGGCAGTGTAACTTTTCTGAAGTTGCTGATTTATAAAAATATTAAATAACCCTATTCAATTTATATAGCAGTGGTGGGGGAAAAATTATCTAAGACTCCTAACTGGAAATGTGTATGATTTTCAGTTTCCTTACTAATTATCTTTGATGAAAATATCTTTGTCACTATACATACAACACATATATTTGCTCTTCATTTGTGTAAAAACAGTACTTCTCTTAATTATTGCTGGAATTTTAAAAAATCTTGTATATTCTATATTTATTCTTTCGTTTACAGCTTCATTTTGTTTGTGAAGATATAACCTGAGGTCACTGATTAGATATAACTAGAAATTATGCGTGCTTTCTTATTACACAAAAACGAGTTGAAGAGTAATGATATAGTTCCTTGAAGAAAGTTACGTAAATTATGCAGATATTTACTGAATATCTACTACTTGCAGGAACACTTATTAAGTGCTGTGCTAGGGTGTCTGTTTTTTTGCTTTCTCCTTTTTTTTTTTTTTTGAGATGGAGTCTTGCTCTGTGCACAGGCTGCAGGGCAGTGGCACAATCGTGGCTCACTGCAGCCTCCACCTCCCAGGTTAAAGTGATTCTCCTGCCTCAGCCTCCTGAGTAGCTGGGACTACAGGCGCGTGCCACCACATCTGGCTCATGTATATATATATTTTTTTTTTGGATTTTTAGTAAAGACGGGGTTTCACTCTGTTAGCCAGGATGGTCTCAGTCTCCTGACCTCGTAATCCACCCCTCTCGGCCTCCTAAAGTGCTGGGATTAAAGGTGTGAGCCACCACGCCTGGGTCAGGTGTCTGTTAACAGAATTTGTCAAAGTATGACAGTATTGTATATTTAGAAATATTTTGCCTTTAGAGTCTCAGCAGTCTGTTCCTTAGTTTGATTAGTCCTTAAGGTAAAAAAAATGCTCAATTTTATATTGCTGCCATAGTTAAAATAAATAGCATTTTAATGAGAACACTAGTCTACCTTTTCTAAATTTTATTATAAAATGTCAAACAATAAGTATAGACCCTAAATCTAAACTTTTTCAAAGAAGAATCAAATAAGTGTGAAGTGGTGGAATTGAGGAATATCTAATAGGACAATTGGGTTTGGACCTTCTAGATTGTGAAGGATGGTTAGAGTCCAGGTAGGTGAGCAGGAGGAAGACAGCATTCCAAGAAGAATAGCAAAACAGGCTGGGCGAAGTAGCTCACATCTGTAATCCCAGCACTTTGGGAGGCCAGGGTGGTCAGATTGCTTGAGCTCAGGAGTTCAAGATCAGCTTGGACAACATGGCAAAAACCTGTCTCTACAAAAAAATACAAAAATTAGCCAGGCATAGTGATGTGTGCCTGTACTCCCAGCTACTCGAGAGGCTGAGGCAAGAAGATTGCTTGAGTGGGGGATATTAAGGCCACAGTGAGCTGTGATTGCACCACAGCACTCCAGCCAGTGCAGAAGGGTGAGATTCTGTCTCAAGAAGAAAATAGCAAAATAAAAACTTAAGTTGAAAAATAAGCATGAATTATTCAAAAGCAGTGAAAAAATCTGTTGGGTCGAGTCTGAATATCAAGGCAAAGATGAAAAGGAAGGGAGGAAACAAGATTCAAGAAAGCCTAGAATGCTAGGAAGTTCTTTGGTATTAATTAATAGGCTTTCCAGGTGCCAGGCATTGTGTAAGATGTTCACAAATATCACATTAAAAATGGAGAAAGATATTGTATTAGACTGTTTTCACACTGATAATACAGACATACTCAAGACTGGGTAATTTATAAAGAAAAAGAGGCTTAATGGACTCAGCAGTTCCACATGGCTGGGGAGGCCTCACAATCATGGCAGAAGGCGAAGGAGGAGCAAAGGCTTGTCTTACATGGCAGCAGGTAAGAGAGCTTCTGTAGGGGAACTGCCTTTTATAAAACCATCAGATCTCATGAGACTTACTTACTATCATGAGAACAGCACAGGAAAAACCTGCCCTCATGATTCAGTTGTCCTGATGGTCCCTCCCACGACACATGGGGATTATGGGAGCTGCAATTCAAGATGAGATTTGGGTGGGGAGACAGCCAAACCATATTAGATATAAAACTCTCTTCAAGGATACACAGTGACTTTGTGGCTAGGTCATGAATCCAGGTGACTTAAAAAAATCCATGTTCCTATGTCTCCCACTCCCTTTAAAACAGTACCTGTACTTGATTTTTTTTTTTTTTTTTTTTTTTTTTTTGAGACAGAGTCTTACTCTGTCGCCCAGGCTAGAGTGCAGTGGTGTGATCTTGGATCACTGCAACCTCCAACTCCTGGGTTCAAGCAATTCTCCTGCTTCAGCCTCCCGAATAGCTGGGATTTGCACCACTATTCCTGCCTAATTTTTGTACTTTTAGTGGAGATGGGGTTTCACCATGTTGGCCAGGCTGGTCTCAACTCCTGAGCTCAAGTGATCCGCCTTCCTTGCCCTCCCAAAGTGCTTATATTACAGGCGTGAGCCACCCATTGTTTCTCTTAATTATTGAATTCTGGAATTTAAAAAAAGTCTTAAATATTCTATATCCTGTTATCTTTTACCATTTTAAGCAAGGAATAGGTATGACAAAAATGGGTGTTTGGGGAAGGTTATTTGGCAGCAAGGTATTAAAAGGGTGGTGAGAGTAAATAATTGAAATAACCAGTTTTTAGGGAAAATATTTAAGAATAGGCAGACATAGAAATGATCTTATAAAAAACTATTAGTTAGAAATGAGTAAATCAAAACTAGTGTGTGGATTTCTTTAGGGCTTTTCTAATAGATCTTCACTCAAGGTGCTCTCTGTACATAATCGTTCTGCAAGAAGTTTTCAGTTATTTCTCAATCCATTGAAATTATTTAAAAAGTCAGATAATCTTACTTCATTCTAAAGCCTTTTAAAACTGGAGTTCCAGGAAAGAATTAAGACCTAATGCCCCAAGAAGTCCATTGTATGCATTGACTTAACTTCTGCATATAGAATAGTGCTGCTTTTGTACCACCCTTGGAAGAATTCAGTAAATGGTTACTCTGTGCTTTAGATGAGGAACCACAGTTGAAAAATCAGTAATATAATTTGTGGTTTTTTTTTTTTTTTTAAACCACAGAATCCTGAGAATATTGGCAACTGGTTAAATGTTCTGTTACCATACTATTCTAACAATATAATAAAAGCTCTGTTCTAAGTCATGTTTGGTATGAAACACGTAGTACACTCCCTGTTCTTTATGCCTAAACAAGCCGAAATACCGAGGCTTCTGTACAGTTCCCAATGGAGTCAGGATGTAAAAATCTTTTTAGATTGGGTAGACAGTAGGTCTTTAGGGTGAGGTGCATAGGTTGCTTACTGCCTCAATTTAGAGAGAGTCATGGCTTGGTTACATCAGTCTGTTAATTTGCTGGACTTTTGACTAGTAAACTGTCA